CCCCCCCCCAGGGGGGCGCGCCCCACTATTTGAGAAGGACTGAGTTAACCAGTGAATACAGGGTGCAGTGGTGTGTACAATAATCACAGCCAGTTATGAATCTTAGTGCACCATGATAGACAGCATCCAACATCTGCAGGGTTCTTGTAGGAGGGTTCATGTAAATAATGTCACCGTCATCAATGGAGGGAAGGAAAGACACAGATAAACACAAATTGTCTCTAGGTGTGTGAGAGAGAGAGAGTAAATGGTTGTTTGTCTCGTTTGTTTCGATGTGTCCCTGTGATGGACTGGAGACCTGTCCAGGGTGTCCCCCACCTCTCGCACAGTGATTGCTGGATATGAACACCAGTGACCCCCGTGACCCGAAAAGGAAGAAATGGGTAAAGATAATGGATGGATTACATCGTTCTTTAAAGATATGGTTTACAGAAACTAAACCAAAAACGTTTCTCACTCGAACTTCTCAAATCATTTTATGAAGTAGTTGGAGAAACTTCTGTGGTAGAAATCAAACTAAGGGAAATGTGTGTTTTCTCTCATGAACGGACAAAGAGCTCTTAAAAATAAATGGGGGTTTAATGGGACCAAGATGGTGTAGAAAGTCACAGACTCAACTCCCCGCCATGCCCACAGGTCGTGGTGTCTCTGAGCAAGATACTATACCTATTTGCTCCCCAGGCGCTTACACAGCTGTCCACTGCTCCACCTGGTGTATCTCAGGTGTGAGGCGTTAAATGTAGAGAACTAATGTCATCATTGTATGGAAACATATGATGTACAACTCCGACGGTTCTTCAACCTTCTGACGGTTGGGAAATTCACCACCTTCTTTTCATTTCTTTCCCTGGTGAGGTGTTCCGGACACGTCCCACCGGGTGGAGGCCCAGAGGAAGACCCAGGACACGCTGGAGGGACTATGTTTCTCGGCTGGCCTGGGAACGCCTCGGGATTCCCCCGGAAGAGCTGGCCCAAGTGGCTGGGGAGAGGGAAGTCTGGGTCTCCCTACTTGGGCTGCTACCCCAGCGACCCGACCCCGGATAAGCAGAAGAAAATGGATGGATGGATGGATGGATAGTCTTTTTTCCCCTAAAACTCTACTTGTGCACAACATCTGTTTCTAAATAGTTATTTGATTTACTGACCCAGGGAGTGGTGGCACAGAGGTTAGAGAAGGTGAACCTGTGATAGGAAGGTCGTCGGTTCAACTCCCTGGACCAACAACATCAAAATGTGGGTGGGAAAGGTAAAGCACCCACACCTGCCTCCACCCTCATTTGCACCACTCCTTAACCCCCACCATCTGCTCCCCCAAGCGCAACAGATGGCAGCTCTCTTAGGCTTTGTCAGAATAAAATCCTGTTTATTAACAGTAGCATAAAATAAATAAAAACACGGAGGGAAAAAGCGTGGCTGACTTCTCCCCATCAGATCTTCAGGGGGTTAAATCTGTTCTAGTTATGAATCTAGAGCGTATGGGTCAAACTCAAGGCCCGGGGGCCAAATGTGGCCCTCGTTGACATCTTATCTGGCCCCCAATATGTTATTTTAAATGTAAAATACTTTTATCACTTTAATTTATTCAGTAATCTTTGATTATGATGTCAAAAGTGCAACAGAGAACATCAAATGAGACCAGTCAAACTCTTGTTGAGGAACCTTCATCCATCCATTATCTTTACCCGTTTATTCCATTTTGGGTCACGGGGGTCGCTGGTGCCCATGTCCAGCAATCACTGTGCGAGGGGCGGGGTACACCCTGGACGGGTCGCAAGTCCATCACAGGGAC